TCGTCACGTGTTAAGGCTTATGAAGTTAATAAACTAGATCGATCAAAACAAAACAATTCATTTAACTGGCCGACGCAGTTAGTTTCCTCATCGTCTACAACACCAGAAATTGAAAAAATCTTGCCAAGACCAACGTCTGACACAAACAATTCAACGCTACCCTTTGCAGACGCGCATATGGCAAATGGTGACACCAGATCCGGTACATTACCTTCAGAAATAAGGGAAAGATCGCGTACATGGACTTTACGGATACGTCTACCGGCGCAATCTTCTTCCTCACTTTGGCTTTCTTCGGCGCTCCCTTGTACAATCTGGGAAGCGTGACAGAAAAGCGTTCGCAAATTGACTAATCTAACTCTTCCGTTTCCTTGGTCACAAACGTACAGCTTCCCGCTCTCTTTCACTGCAAAACCAGCTGGGTTTCTAAATCTGGCCTTGTTGCCATATCCATTAGTGTGCCCGGGCTCACCACCACCAGCGATTAATGTGACATTTGCTGGACAGTGCATGTCAACCATGAGGACTGTATGGAGACGTCTATCGGTAATAAACAGCCTGCTATGCTTTGGGGAGAATGCCAATCCTACCGGGTAGCTTAAAAGAGAGGCCCCGTTCTTTTTCCAGTGCTTGAATTCCAGTTCTGGAACTAATGTTGTGCTCACTCTTTCATCTGGAATGGAATCTTGAATCGCTTTCCGGTGAATCTCCACTGCTGTTTCTACATCCATCCGATCTTTGTTTCGAACTGCTTTCAATGAAACTGATTTCTTGATGTCTCCGTATTCTCTACGTAGCACCAAAAGCAGCCTTACATTCACTTGATTCACTAGGTATCCATCAATGTCAATCCAATGCCAAAACTCTGCAGAACGTACTGACTTGATGTTGTGTGGGCAGTCACGAATAGGGACTTGGTAGGGGTACTTCGCCCTGTCTGCTAGCATGGAATTCATAAAGCTCTTTTGCTTGGGATCGCAGTCAGTGGCCCAAACCAATAGGAACAGTCGAGTGAAACACGCGTGAACATGCCTGTTGCGCGTCCTTGCGACATGGGATTTTCACGCAATAGTCGCTAAAGGAAAAGAAGAGGCCCTGGAACCATCACAACAGAGTGGACTCCAGCAACCTGGATTCTGGATTACAATGCTTGGATTCCGGATTCCATTAGCTGGATTCCGGATTCCAAAGCCGTGGATTCCGGATTCCACAGACCAAAATTACCTGGATTCCGGATTCCGGATTACCTTACATGGGGCGATAACTATGCCGCTTTATAACTCGTCCGAAGTTTTTGTGCCAGCTAAACAATATGGAAACACTATTCACAGTGACTCCTTGGATATTAAAAAGACTGAACGTGACGCACTATTATGCCTTTGTTTACTTCTGATCACATCTTCAAGCGAAGTCTCTCTTTTCAAGCGATTCATCTCAATGCACAATAATTGACCCTTATATTAGTTAAAATCCTATGGTTCATTTATATTAATGCTGTTTTTGCCCCTCACATTGACTGTGTTCGTTCGTATTCAAAACACATTTACGAAAATAAAGGTCGTATAAGTCATGTGCGTTATGTTTCGAGATAAATGGATTATACGCTTTTTTTTAAGTTTCCATTTTGCCGTGACCTCAGTTTACATCTCCATAAAATGGTAAAAGAAATATCAAGAAACATCACGAGAGCCGAAAATTTTCAAAGGCATGTTTCTGAAACTTGCTAATGCTGACATCAATATAGCGTGCTTGCTGAATGGGCGAAAACACAGAATTGTGATCACAAGATCTTGTACAAATTTAATGATAAAAGCTTAGTAAGATACAGATACAAACAAAAGCAAACCCCTTGAAACCTCGACGTGGGCTACACTTGTATGCTCTACTCAATCACCAAACCTTGTCAGTAATAGCTCCTATTTTCCTCAAGTCGCTCTCTGTGAAGCTCCCGGATGGGATGTCCCGGAGAAGCTTTAAACTTGTGTGCGAAATTCTCAGAGTTCCTATTTTTGTCCGTGTCTTCTTTATCCTCAGTATCCGAAATTTAGACCTCCAAAGTGGCGTGTGTTGCATTAAATAGAAGGAAATATTTAAAGGAAAAGCCAGTCTTCTGACATGGCAAAGTTGTCACGTCCCTCGCTCATGGACGTGCGTCACATCAGGATTCATCTGCCATTCATTGGCAACTGAGTTGTTCGCTTCACTGATTATGATGGCTTACAGTCAAGTCTTCAGCCATAGTGTCGTCAACTGGTGAAATACTTTGCTCATAAATTGTGCTTCTTAATTGCTCATGTACTACATCGATCGATAGTTCACGAAGCGGCCACGGCGTTCCAAACCTGACGCTCACAGTCATCTTTTCAGTCTTTTAGTGTGAACCTACCGTGAACGGCGTGTCGGTTTGAATGCAACGCGAGCATTTCTCTGAGTTTCCCAGCGCCAACATCATCTAACTGACTTAAACTCGAACAATAAAAAAATTATAGAGTGACTCCCATGGTCGAATCGCTTCGAGCAACGCAAATAGCCTTCTTCAGGTTCGCAACGCCTTGTGGGTTTTTCAGGGGGAGCGCAGACAAGGTACAAAAAGTATCCGTGCAAGGCTCCGTGCAAGAGAAACTCATATGAAACCATTTGTGACAACATCGTTTCTCGGTACCAGACCCTCGTGCCTTCCCTCCCCCGGGAGACCACTTTTTGACACCGACGACCGAAAGCCCATTTTATGACTGGGCCGCACAGGCAGCCCAGTAAAAACAAAAGGTCCTCAAAGTGTTGCATTTCTCACGGGGGATGAGGACTGGCTCAATGTAAATCGAACTGCGAAGAACAGGCTGGTTCTGACAATAGTTTTGAGAATATAACCGTATTCCTTGATTAGCTACCGCATAAATTCAATTTACAAAGGAAAAGGTAACACTGAAAACCCTGGTTCTGAGTCGAGAATTGAACACGCTACCGCAATGTAAATCGAGCTGCGAAGTACAAGCTGCTTCTGAGAAAAATTGGAGCGTAAAACCCTGCTCCAGAACACTATAATTGCCCTTTCAAACTAGAAATCGCATTAAAAGATGCTCACCTGTTAGAGCGTTATCGAGATATTTTGGGATAAAGATTTTGTAGTTAGAAATACGGTAAAAAATGGACAATCTCTATGTTCGGCTGTTATCTGTAGAAAACGAAGCGCTTTTGACATGCAATTTCATCTCATAGTAGTTTCAATCTTTTTAAAAACGTGTGAAAGATCATGGAGATAGCTCCAGCCGATTGCTAGAAAGGAAGATTTGATTAGTATGTATCCAGGCGCTCTTGTTAGCGGTTTTTGAATATTTTGGTCTACTTTAACAAAGTAGCAAATAGTTTTTAAACCGCTCGATAGATTTTTTTAAAAAATTTAAGATTCTTAAGATTAACCTTCCTTTTATATGACCTTTTAGTTTCAAGATTATTGATATATTGTGAGGCCGTAAATTAAGGGCTACAATTCGTTAATATTTTGGCTAAAATTTTGTGTTTACAAATGTGAGCCTCTCATTATTCAGGGTATTGTCTCCAAGTTTCACTGATTCTCGTGCACAACAATAGCTACAACCCCTCCCCGTATCCAAAGTTGTTTAGGATAGCATGGCAATTATACACGTTGGTTTTTAGACCAAGACAACTTTGAATAGGAGGTGAGAAGGGAGCCTACTTTTTCTGTTTAGAGGAGGCAGAAGGAGGGCGCAAAAGTTAGAAAATAGATGGAATTATCCGGGGTTGCAGCATTTTTGCATATGTCAAATGCATTGTTAGTTACTGCTGTTCACGTGAAAATGAAACTTGGAGACAATGCCTTGAATAATGAGAGGCTTTCTCTTGTATAATCACGAAACTTTCGATAAAGAAGTAGTGAATTGTAGCCGTTATTTTACTGCCTTACAATATATCAATAATCTTGGAACTAAAAGGTCATATAAAAGGAAGGTTAATCTCAAGAATCTTAAATTCTTTAAAAAATCTATCGAGCGGTTTAAAAATTATTCGCTAATTTGATAAAGAGGACCAAAATGTTTACAAAACCGCTAACAAGAGCGCTTCGATACATACTAATCAAACCCTTCTTTTTAGCAATCGGTTGGAGCTATCTAAATGATCTTTCACACACGTTTTTAAAAAGATTGAAACTACTATGAGGTGAAATTGCATGTCAGAAGCGCTTCGTTTACGGAAGAGAGCGATTTGAAGAATTTTCAAGATCTCATGGTGGCCTGCTATTAGCTTCATAACTGGGCAATCATAAGTTTATCGCGATTCGGAGACGATCGAAGGTGCCATCTAGCCGATTTTAAGCATACTTAATACTAGTCTCCTTCGCAGCCGTTATTAGGGTCGTCACTCGTCACGCAACGCTCCTCCCCACTGCGAAGGAGACTAACCTAATACGCGCCTCACTTACATCTCTCAGTATTCCCCTCAGTGTTTTTTACCCGTAGTTGAAATAAGCGCCGCACCTATAACAGGGAAAATGAAATAAGTACCGCGGCGCTTAATCGATCATCTACGGTACTCATACCAATACATATAAGTAATATACCGTGTCTGCGTGTATGTATCGGTATGTTACCCGTATGTTACTCGTAAAAATGCGTCAAGACGCGTATGTCTCCGTGTGTTACTCGTATGTTACTTGTCCCGTGTAGTGTTTTAGTAAAAAATCGATACCCCGTTTTCAGAACAAACGGCTCAAAAAACATTCCCTTTGAGGCATCACATTCCTCTATGGTTCATACAGTAGAGTATCGTCCCCAGTACACACTCTTGTCTTGAAATGCGGGGTACCCCTGCGAGAAGTCTGGTTTGTTTTACAGCATGTGTCGTCACGCGACTGTTGCGAAAGTGTTCATGACAGTCTTGTGACCTCTAGTATTTATTTCACTTTTTACAATTCTGACGTCAGTGTTACTCTGTCGCTTCTCGCTCTTCACTGACGAGGTTTCCTGCGAACGCATCCCATCAAAATGAGAGGATCCATCGCTTTTTTGTGTTGCTTGGCAGTAGCTAGTGGTTTTGTCCTCAAGTTCGACGACGAAGTGCAATGGCGAGCATGGAAATCTTTTCACGGCAAAGCCTACTCCACCGAAAGCGAGGAAGCTGCGCGGAAAGCAATTTGGAAAGACAACCTCGGGGTAAGAAACGGTTCATTTTGTGAAATTCCTCCTTAAGCGGACTGAACCACTTTTCCCTCTTTCGCGTCTCGCTCATTAAATCATAAATTACTCACTGAAAGCTTTCACTGACAGCCGGCTTACGGGTCGTGTGTTAGGCTCTTGCGTTATCAGCCGGGGCACCCAACGAGGATATAGTTCAAAACCACTTAACATAGCATTGTTGAACGTATTTAAGTATTCAAACAGTAGATATAGGCATATTTTTATCCCCTAAAAACTTTTCATCTGTTCGGATTTCCTAGCTGAAAGTCTAGTGATCCGAAAATTATAGGGATAAAAACTTACCTTCTCGAAAATTTCAGCCAGGAAAACGCTCCCGAAAATTCTAGGTGGCCTTTTTTTAGGGTCAAAATCCTTTAAAAATGGGTAACTATGCCATTTTGTTGATGTTCGACAATCCTAGGAGAGGCAGGCAAGCAAGAAATTTTACAACAAATGCTCCGAAAATTCTAGATCTCAAATGGTCTTTCGAACAGATATTTTCCCGAAAATTGCCGTTGGGTGCCCCTGCGTTATGAACGGTGCTACAATTGTCCAAGGGCAACTTTGGATTATTCGAATTTATTAGCGCTTTCTTAGTTGACTATTGTCCATAAATCTCATGCTGTATTCATACCTTTTTCATAAATCAATGTTAAGACACACGTACATTACTACAAAGTTAAAAGTGAAACATGCTTTACAAGAATGAAACCCGAAGAAGATTCACTTACGTGTCAAGCCACAGGCATCCCAAACTCGCGTTCATATTGAAAAACGTTCGCTTTAACTCAGCATATTGTGGACAACACAATATTTCCGTTGTTGTGGACCTCATGATCCAAGGACGGCGACAGCAACGAAAAGGTGCCACGTCCCTTAAAATGTTCTTTCCATTTTCATCACGATTATTTAAACTCACTTTATCGATCTGCTCTCGGAGTTATTTCTACGATTCCAAGTTCAGAAAGAGAAAGAAAATTTTGTGTGGACTTGATGACGTCCAAAACGTGAAATGAGTTACGACCGCAGTAAGAAGAGGACATCAAAACGCTTGTGTACGTGACATGGCTATTATTGCTTGCGTGTTTTGTCGTAATCTTCACTTAACGATATGGTTTCTGGTCTTTGACAAATAAATCTGTTTAAAAGTAAAGTGAAGTTTGTCGGAACTTTTGTTCGAGCAAGATTATTGTCACGCTTGTCGCACACGGTTTGCCACCTTCTTTCGTCTGCGGTCGTGTAACGTAAGTTCACTAATTAAGCATTTTCATCCTCGTGGTCGACGTACAGCATGGTCCTCTTCGAAGAGCATTTCGTGACTCTGGCCCGAGCGCCTGTGTGCTGAGTTTTTGGTTTGAGTTTTAATCTTTTGCCTTTTTGACGCTCTGGTTGCCGTCCGGTCGTCGTCGGATCTTGAGGTCCCTTTAAACTCCCAAATAAAAAAATACTCGGCAGGATCGGGGATTTTAATTCTTGTCTACCCAGGTAATTCTCAAAGGATTTCTCATTTGATAAAGCACGTTCTTTTACGATTTTATTAGCTAAAGGTAATTACGTTTCACATTTTTTTCTGCACCAGAAAATTGCCGAGTACAATGCTGAAGGTCATTCTCATCTCTTGGCCATGAACCACCTCGGAGACCTGACTCAAGATGAATACCGTTTCTTTTATCTGGGAATGCGAAGCCACTTCTCCACTGAGACCAAGCAAAATGGCTCTACTTATCTGGAACCTAGACACGTGATGCTTCCATCTGAAGTTGATTGGCGAAAGGAGGGTTACGTCACAGGTGTTAAAAATCAAGGTATGTTTTTGTAAACTTCAAAACAAAGGACTATCTACCGACCTTTTATTATTTACAGTTGGCTACTCTATTATGACACGAGCCTGCGTGGCAGGCGCCGGCTAGTTTTTTGGTTAGTTTTTAAAGAGCGCGCGAGGGGAACACGCGAAGGGGAGAGGAGGAATCCGCCCAAGGCCTCCATTTCTCCCTTCACGCACGCGCGTGCGTCCTCGAATTTTTCTAAACCAGCGCCTGCCACGCAGGGTACTATAATACTGATTCATGGTTTAATACTGTTTCTCCTGACCTGTCCTTCAAATATAATAATTACGGTTGACATGTATTCCTCTGTTTCCCAGGTCAGTGCGGTTCTTGCTGGGCTTTCAGTACAACAGGATCACTGGAAGGACAACACTTCAAGAAAACTGGAAAGCTTGTCTCTCTCAGTGAACAGAACCTTGTTGACTGCTCTGGAAGCTATGGCAACCATGGCTGCCAGGGAGGGCTTATGGATAACGCATTCAAGTATATCAAAGCAAATAAAGGAATCGATACTGAGGCAAGCTACCCGTATCAGGGTAAGAACGAACCGTGCCGATATAAAGATGGCGACATTGGAGCTACAGACACTGGTAAGTGATTCTTAAGCGTAAGTTTGTTTTTTTTTTGTAGACAAACGCGTTAGTTTTGACATTGTTTTGAACATGATTGTAACAAAAAATAACTTTCTTGCCTCTACGATCTGGGAAGGGGATTAATTCGTAAGAGATTTTAGCCTGCGTAGCAAAACTTTTCGCGCGAGGTTGCCTAGAAAGTTGGAAGTTTAGCAAAAAATAGGGAGGAAGGGGGAGGGGAGACGAGGTTTTCTCTTGTCCCCTCCCCCGTCGATCAGAAACATTCACTTTGCAGGCTAAAAAAAAGTTTAAGAAGCGATTTTAACTGAAACGAAGTGCAAATTCCTTTAGAAAAATTTTAAAGAATAACTACTAGTGGTAAAACAACTGTCACAAGAAAAGTAGTGATAAAATTTAAACAATGGTTGTTTTCGTTGAATCCCTCAGGATACGTAGACATTCCCAAGGGAAACGAAACAGCTCTTCAGTCCGCTAGTGCCACAGTAGGCCCAATCTCCGTCGCCATAGACGCTGGTCACTTATCATTTCAGTTCTATCACAGTGGAGTCTACAATAACCCGTAAGTAGAAGATTTTAAAAGTTAAAAGTTGTATGTTTTTGTTAAACACCTTCTTTACTCGAGGATGAAAACAGCGGAAACTGGAATCGTCGTATTTTTTTTTCCGCCCCGAGTCTTTCTGTCTATAAAGTGGTGTTGCCCAAAAGGATATTACTAATCTACGCTCTCCCCACCCCACAAAGCCACGAATCCATTCTTGTACGCCTTCTCGCGCGTACTCGACTTCACTCCTAATAAATTCACTCCGCTTTCAACTAGTAACCCTTAAATACGGAAAAGCCCTTAGAATCCACCACATTGACGGAAACATTTTAGAGCACAGGTTCTAGAAATTCACATGACACGTGCAAAGTGTATTTCATTCCATAAGAAGCGAAAACACAGAGCGATACGCGCAAGGAGAAAGGACATTCGCGCACTATATGTGCTAAGCACTCGTTTGTTTTATAATCGTAGTACAGTGGAACCTCGATATAACGAAGGGCCACGGGACTGGCAAACTTCTTTCGCTATAACGAGGTTTCGTTATATCGAGGTTCTTTTTCATATATTCAACTATAAACTGTACTACTAGGAGGAAAGAAAATCGATCGTTATGCGGAGGACTTCATTATATAGAGGTTCGTTATACTGTGAAAGGTTTGAATCCAAGAGTCATTTCAAAAGTAGGTTGAGTTTGATCGTCCAGGTGAACGTAGTCCTGAATAGGACTGTTGTTGTTGACAGTGACTGACGTTTCGACAACCTGTGCGGTAGTCGACTCAACCTACTTTTAGAGGTTCGTTATGTCGAGGTTTGAAGTTTGAAGTTTATTAATTCATAAATACATATCAGTTCGAAAACTGAATTGCGTATTTACGTTACAAAAATTAAATTACAGATCTAAACATTAACTAATCTATCTTAATTAAAAGGAATAAAAAAGCTAACAACAGATGAGATACGAAAAAAAGTTATCGAAATACAAGCTGCGAAATTCGAAAACTCTAACCTAGAAGTTAGTTGCTTTAAGACGTGAAAAGATAATAAAGCTATTCTTAAAACGGTCGGTTTTAAAACGTGGTATTTTAAAAGGTTGCGCACGCCTTTAAGTTAATGAATAAGTAGATTCGTGTGGTGCAGGTAATAACTTATAAAGGCGGTAATTGTTGTCATTTACAATTGTGTGAAAAAGTAGCTCACAAATTTCGTCATGATGGGTTGCTAATTCCTTAAAGGTCATAATAACAGGAGCCTCGTGATAGCTAACAACGGGCCAGATGATGGACATTGCTCTCTACATTGTATACTGGTTCTACTGTGTATACTCGAGCAAATAATTTCACTTTCCAAGTGAATTATCTTATTTCATCTTTCATCTACTTTCAGGACCTGCAGCAGCACTAGACTTGACCATGGTGTTCTTGTCGTTGGATATGGAACATATGAAGGGAAGGATTACTGGCTGGTCAAAAATTCCTGGGGGACCCACTGGGGAATGGAAGGCTACATCATGATGTCGAGGAACAAGAATAATCAATGTGGGATAGCCACAGACGCCAGCTATCCTCTTGTTTAAAACCAACGCTGCTCAGTGGAGTATTTTACGAGCATCTGAATATCTATCATTTACAATTTCACGGATAGTGAAGACACGGAGCTAAATTCCCTAAATACACCGAGACAAAAACGTCTATCAACTTTGTTGATATGTAATATACTGAGTGTATTATTAAAGAACATTATGAGTAACTTAAGTCGTTTTGTTTGGATCTTCCTTCCTTCCTTCCTTGCACTAAACCCTTCCCACTATTCACAGCGCGAATACAGAGAAGCGACTTGGTGCGAGTCTGAGATATTTATAAAATATCAAGCATATTTTTCACCTATGCTATCAGGCTTTATCCCCCAGCCCCGAACGAAAGGGATGTGAACTACATTCCCTTCGATTCACCGACGTTAGTGCATCAATAATGAAATGGACGGTCTGAAAACTAGCCGCAAAGAAACAAACATAATTCTTTTATTAGAGTAGTGGATACTCTCCAAATTATTACATACGTTTTTGAGTAAGATTTATCTACGGCAACCCCAATCTTCTCCTCCCGTTCTTCAAGAGAACGAAGGGTAAGGACACGTGTTCAAATTTAAGCTCGCTTTCACCTCTTAGCTGTACAGGTAAAATAGAATCCCTTCCCCTTCGTCATCCACGATTAAGGACAACCTTGGTTTCAGTGCATGTATAAACTAGATCTTGGCAAAGCTCAGCTGACAATCATTTCATGTTTTAAATAGCTAGTGACGACGAGGTACAAATAAGAATAAGTACGTTGTCGGCAATGCCATGAAGAAAGTCTTGTTTGGAAAAAACTGACCCCATAAAATCCGCAATGGCTCCGGACCAAATTTCTCTAAAATTAACGAATGACGCTTTAACAAGAACCCCGTCTGCGAGTAAATATATTTCTGTACTTTCCATGTGATGGCCTTGTGGACCTTTGGTGTGTAAGTTCGGGTTATTTACACCCCCGGGTTTACACTTAGTTTGTGTTTTAACATGTATTTGATTCAGTTAGTTAAAAGTTTGACATAAAAGGTCATGAAAATGAGAACCCTAGATTTATTGATTACGCTTAGTCCGCACCACTCTTTTGCCCAAGCTCAGAGTCACTGCAAAATTTCTAACCCCCAATTTCGGAGTCCCCGAAAGGCAAATTGATTTCAACCCCCTCCACCCCGGGAACTTCTTTTGAAATTGACAACAGCTGCAAATGACCACCAGCAATATGCCGCAGAGCGTAGGAGCTTGAGAAGAGCGGATCAGCAAAAGTATACAAAGTAGACCGACATTGAATTCTGGAAAGCTGATCATACTACGTGAAAATTAACTTTGCAAAGCATCAACAGGACACAGAAAGAAGCCAAAACGGTTACAACCTGTTTTGGCTTCTTTCGGTGTCCTGTTGATGTCTTGAGAAGTTAATTTTCATGTAGTGCGATCAGCTCTGCAGAATTCAAGGTTTCTATTTGGGCTTTTAATTAAAGTGTTTGGGCTTCAGTTTGTTACGAGCGAAACAACCATCACTGCCAGTCAGACAGTCGCGAAGCTAGCCTGTTCCAGGAGTTCAGATAGTGGGGAGCGGTGCGAAGTAAAAAGGAGTGCGAGTTCTCCCCAGTCCCCCTCTACTTTTCATCGCTTTCTTTACTTCGCACGGCTCTCCACTATCTGAACGCTTGGAACAGGCTATCGCGAAGCAAGTCCAGACCCAACACACACCCGGCATTACAATGCTGTTTTTCAAGTGCCAATAGATTAACCAGAGTATACTTTGAGCTGACTCATCGATAAAAACAATAGGGAATCGTAGGAAGATTTGAAGCCAAAGTTTCGAGACGCTTGCCCTTCGATTCGTCAGACCAAATTTTCCTTCGATACAAAAGCTCCTCCACGTGGGTTCTAGTTCTTAAAGGAAATATATATGTCACGCTATTTGCTGTCTTTTTAAAAAGATGCAACGCGTTTGAAAAAGTTTTTTGTCCCGGGGGTACTCCTTCATATAAGCCATAGAGATATGTGCCCCCCCCCCCCCCCAATCGGGTAGGGTTTTTGCCCCGTTTTGGTCTGAAAACGGGTATACACTGACCATTTTGGTCTGAAATCGGGTATGGTTTTCGAGGGAACTACGGAGTGTATGAATGGACTTCTCGTTTCAATTCCAAATGAGCTAACAAAGAGAAATATGCAAATTCAAAATGGATTTCAATAATTGTTTTGTTTGCGCCTTAATCTAAGTGATGATAACATCAGAGGTCTGGTCTGAAAACGGGTGTGGAAAATTACATTTTTTGGTCTGAAATCTAGAGCCGGATTTGAAGAACCGGGCGGCACACTCCCACCAAGAATTTCCAAGGGTACCCCTCCCCCGGGTTTTTTTGTTATTTAACTATTTTTCAGACTATTCCTGTCGTCGGTTGGATGACATTAGCCATGACGTCGATTGAAGGCCAACTTTTTTAAGTTTTAACGCTCTTCCCGCAAAAATTACAAACGAAATGTTGTGCTTAGGGTCTCTGATGAAATATAGCACAAAACTGATCCCTAAAAAATCCGCGTGATATAGGCTTTTAGAGGGACAAGGCCTAACGCTTTATGTCCTTGCCACACCGTGCATCGTCGAGAATGTAAGTCTCCCACCCCTTCCCCACTTCAACAAAATAGGCAGCGCTTTACTCAGGGTCTCTTTAAGGTTGTTGCCGGTTCCTTATACCGGGTTGAAAATGAAGGTAGGGATTGAGGAGTGCTATCTCGTGGGGAGATTCATGCGTGACAAAACCTCTGCGTGGGATCATACCCCCCCCCCCCTCCGCTCTTTTAATGGGTGAGACGTCCCTTTTATTTTCTAAAGATGAATAAAAACCCCGGGGGGTACTCCTAGGAATTCTTGGTGGGGGTGTGCCGCCCGGTTCTTCAAATCCTGGTCCTGTTTCAGTCCAAAAACTATAATTTTCCGCACCCGTTTTCAGACTAGACCTCTAAAATCCATACCCGTTTTCAGACCTGGTCTTTAGGCAGAAATTATGTTATCATTACTTACATAAGGGCGCAAACAAAAAAATTCTTCAAATCCATTTCGAATTCGCATAATTATTTCTCTTTCTTATTGGAATTGAAACGATAAACACGTTCACACTATCCCGTGGTTCCCTAAAAAAAACCGATTCCAGACCCAAATAGGCAAAGTTCAGACCAAAACGGCGCAAAAATTCTACCCGTTGGGGCGGCACATACCTATATATAAGGGAGTACCCCCTCCCCTGGGAATAAAACAGAAAACTCTCCATCTCGCTGTTTACCTCGTGGGGGTTACAATCTTGGACAGAATAAAATGGAACAGCAATCCCCCATCCTGCCCCTCCTTGATTTGGGGGGAGGGAGGGCTTAAATGTTCTAGCTATTTTGTCCAATTTTTGTAGAATTTTCGCTTGATTTTCCGCTTAAAGTGCAGCATATTGCCTATTTGTCTGATTGTTGTTATTGTTGCTTTTGTTGAGTCATGATGATGCACAATCACGAGTATTTTAAAAACACGCCACTGTCGTCTTAAGACTCGTGACTGCTGGCATCACAACAAAGTCTTGTGACCTTGATACAAACGGTATTTATACCTGTCCGGTGGAACTTAATTACATTCCAGGGTCTTGCAGAAGAGAGCGTATCTAAAGTAAGTACACAGCACTAAGTCGAAGCCGCAAAATGAAGATATGTTTAGCCTTCTTGTGCTGCTTAGCAGTAGCTAGTCCTTTTGTTCTCAACCTGAACGAAGATGTGCAGTGGAAAGCCTGGAAGTCTTATCACGGTAAAACGTACACCACCGAGAGCGAGGAAGCCTCAAGAAAAGCGATCTGGAAAGACAATCTCAGGGTAAGGCGATTAGCTAAGATACATAGAAATTACCATTTTTCTATTTGCGGTAATACATAGTAACTGAATAAATCTTTGACTCGGAAATCCCTTAATGCAAAAAAATTGGGATCACAGCGGTCGGCTTGAAAAAAAATATCTGCTTTAGAGATTTTTATAGCATTTAAAAATGCTTTTTTCGGTTAACCTTCCAAATGCTCCAATTGATAAAGGGTAATTGAAATTCACCTCACTTCTAAATGCGCTCAGCATTTAAAGTTTTGCTTAGCTCGTCTAGGGAATAAACCGCATGACAAAAGTGCGTGACAGCCTGAGGCCTTAGGGGGTAGAAGGTGGTCAAAGTCTTTAGTTTCTCTAACTGAGATTTAAAATCCTTTTTGGCTCTCAGAAAATCGCCGAGCACAACGCTGAAGGACACTCATTTCGCTTGGCCATGAATCAGTTTGGAGATCTGACTCTTGATGAATACCGCTTCTTTTACCTCGGTTTGCGCGGTCGCATCCCCAGTGACACCAAGAAAAATGGTGGCTCCACCTACTTGGAACCTAGTCACGTGACACTTCCTTCTGAAGTTGATTGGAGAAAGGAGGGCTACGTCACAGGCGTTAAAAATCAAGGTGTGGTCATCTTTGTTAAGTGAACCACTAAAATTCAAAGTTCTTAAACAAGTCAGTTTAAATATTGAACAGACTATCTAAAAATATTCCTTAACTGCTAAGCCACTGCGTGCGGAAAACGATTTCCTGTACTGTTGGCCTAATCCAGGAATAAAAAAAAGCGAGGACACTCGCTATTTTGCGTCGCTTCCCACTTTCTACGCCTAAAACAGGCTACCCATCCACGCACAGTACAGGGTGTTTTGAATCCTTGGGAATCATTGGTGGTGATTTTCGCTGGCTCTGCTATCCTTTTCTGTCCCTGTGTCAGATGAGGGAGTACCCGTAGTCTGTACAAGTAGTGATAAATAAGTGGGAGAAAACTTTGTCACATTTTCTCAACTTTTTCAAATTGCTTTAGATGTAGGACACCTAGTGATCATTGTCAGCAAAGGAGTTAAGTAATCGTTTCAAACGCTTGTTTTCTATCTTACAGGTCAGTGCGGTTCTTGCTGGGCGTTCAGTGCAACAGGATCATTGGAGGGACAACATTTCAAGAAAACTGGAAAACTCGTCTCGCTCAGCGAACAGAATCTCGTTGACTGCTCTGGAAGCTATGGTAACGATGGCTGCCAAGGAGGGCTTATGGATAACGCGTTCAGGTACATCAAAGCAAACGGAGGAATCGACACTGAGGCAAGCTACCCGTATCAAGCTGAAAATGAACCGTGTCGATTTAAAGCCAGCGACGTGGGAGCCACAGACACTGGTAAGATATGATGAGAAAGCTAAATGAAATATAAATATATGTGTGAATATTTAAGTCGAGACGGTAGAAAAAGGCGCGCTAATTAGCTCAGAGACACCTCGTGTGTAGGAGGGGACTATCTAACAATTGTCTACTTATTGTTCCTTTTTATATTTTGATTGTTTTGACCTTCTGACATCCCCCCCTCCACAATTTTTCGAAAAATCATCCCAAACCTCTGAAATATTTTAATCAAAAATAAAACACAAACAACCGTGATAAACATTACAAGTGAGCTTTCGCATCTTTGCATAAACTCGACCTTTCGTATGCTAGTCAGCATATATTTTCAAAAGTGATCTAAAGTGACCGTTACAGATTATGATCAAGACGAGACTTTTTTTACAAAATCTACAAGAGATCTGGAAATGAAGTTAAGCATCAACTTTTCATTGCTAATGTTGACATTTAAAGCTGGCTTGATGTTTCTTTTATCCTGCAATGGTAATCCGATTTGCCAAACGCTAGAATTTCAAAATGATCCTACTTAATTTTATGTCCGGTGGCATTGACATCAGCAAAAGCTGACGAGTGGTCATTTTTAGTCAGGGGTTACGGCCTTCAAGTGTTTTAAAGTATTTAAGGCGGCACCAATGACTCTGACAGTACTGAGCCATTTTTTATTGAAAACAATCTTGGGTGGATTTGGAAGGAAAAGGTCAGAAATAAACGGAAAACAAAGCTTTTAACCAGAATCCCTCCTTTATACGAGAAGGGGGAAGTACTGAGTTTTTCAATTTCGCACTTTACAAGTTCAGTGTTTCAATGGAGAAACTTTTCTGGCGGAACCATTATTTAAGTCCCTGGTGTTTTCAGGTGTGTTACAAAAACCGAGCAGAAAGATGTTCGTCTCCCAAAATTCTGCGTTTGAAAAACAAGTTGCAGGACAAACTGGAAATAGATAACAACCACGTAACCTTAATAAGCTTGCATCTTTACAGGATACATGGACGTTACCCCGCATGGAAGTGAAGCAGCTCTTCAGTCAGCCAGTGCCACAGTAGGCCCAATCTCAGTTGCGATTGATGCCGGTCACATGTCATTTCAGTTCTATCACAGTGGAGTTTACAATGAACCGTAAGTGTCTTTTATAAACAGCTGATAAGATATGGTTTCAATTCTCTCGGAGTTAAATAAGATAAATTTTATATCTCCCATCGTACATACAGTACCAGTAGCCTAATTTTCTCGATGTTTTGCCGGCGATTTCCGGAAACTGAGTTCATCCGTTAGATTTTCCGTATTTTTTCTGCTCTGCATGTCCGAGGGTTGTCTGGATCGATCGAAAACGCAACTTAGATTACATCCTGGATATCTTTTCTCTTGATAGTCAGCGATTACCTCGAGAGAAAGCGGGTCGTATAAGTCTAAAGAGCTCTTGAACCACGCCTCTGATCATATAAATTTCGGGGCTATCTCAAAGCGACTGCCGAGAAAGCAATCTCATTTGACCAGCAGGTACAAGATTTGCGTTACAAGCCTTAGGATATTAATTATTTTCGTTCTCGTTACAGATCCTGCAGCAGCTCTCAGCTCGATCATGGTGTTCTTGTCGTTGGATACGGAACCTATAATGGCCAGGACTACTGGCTGGTCAAAAATTCCTGGGGAACAAGCTGGGGAATGGAAGGCTACATCATGATGTCGAGGAACAAGAACAATCAATGTGGAATTGCCACGGAAGCCAGCTATCCTCTTGTCTAATCCAAAAAGAACTGAAATATTACGTTATCCGTAAAAGTGTCATCCATAAAGCTTCAGCTTTGTTTTGACAAAGAGGTTACAAGTTATTATTGTTGAAGTAGTATAAATATTTTTTTTTTGCGTAAAAATGCGAACATGGACATATATTGAATAAAAAAAACCGCTGTGGAATGAAACTTGAAATAAATTCTTGCTCACGTCCTTCCATCCTTACTTCGTTCAGGACAACATTTACACTTGAGTTGTTCAAAGTCTTATGCTGTTGTTGTTTAAAAGGATTCCCATTTATTGCTCATTCAGTAATGTTTGGACAAAAAACAACAACAACGAAGAAAAGGCGAAAGATCCCATTTTCCCCCCGGAAAAAAAAAAGATAGGGAGTTTAGGCATCCACCTTTTTCAGCGACGCACATCAACCGGAAGTGAGCCTTTTTCTCTTTTAATAAGCCTTGACGCCACCATATTTGTATTGCCAATAGCCTGCGTGGCAGGCGTTCGAAAGGGAAGGGTAAGGGAATTAGGGCGCGAGACCACGCGCGAGGGAGGAGGGAGGAGGGGATCCTTTCTCCCTTGCGAGCCCCACACGCTCTCCCCCGCCCAAATTCCCCCTTCCCCCTTGTCTTAATTCTTATAGACGACTTGCCCAAAAAATTGTTCAAAATTACGGCTCAAGAGTGCAAAAAGCCCACGTCCGGTTGACGTGCGTGGCTCAAAAACATCGCTGCTGAAACTGCCTAACGTTAACATCCCGTCCATAGTCGTTACAAATTTAACACATGCTTATACTTTCGGTTATGCAAATATGAAGGCAACCAAAAACTTGCAATATTCAGTACATCTGTCTTTGCAGTATTCTCTGAACATCTACTACATCTGGACGGTTCTCTTAACCATACCGTATATTAAACATTGACCCGCCAATTTCCCCCCCTCGGATTAACAACTGTATGCCAAACGACCATTGTAGCCCCTACCTATAGCGGAGCATCACAGATCAGTGCTTCAGAAAAAACACTACTCAATATCAGATGCATTGACAACGTAGTTCATAGTGTGTCACTCGACTAAATTAACGACAGTGAACACAGCCGGAAGAACGCCGCTCCCATTCTTCACGCATCTCCGCCGCCACAAAACTACAGCACTCGCCCACTACGCAGGTTAGAACAGGTGCTATATTTTCCCATTCATCTGACGAACGAAGCACGAGGTGGCGGTGGATAAGCGCGACTGGTAAAGGCGCCTTCCCTGTCGCGTGTGTCGCGCGCCCCTCACTCGCTTTGCGCTTGCAGTCTCGCCTGAAAAACGCAAAATTCTAGTCTGCAGGAATGATCTGAAAAAGAGCGAGATCATAATTGTCCAATTTAGATCTCTTGACATGATGCAGCCTCACTTCAGGTCCTTTTCCACTTTCGGTGATTGCATGTTGCAACTAAAAAAAATGCCCGGCCCGGTGGCCACATTAAACCCCCAGATATGCAGCCTTCGTAGCTGTTTGCCGGTTGTTCGAGAGCGTTTTCTCAGCTTTTTCTCCTCTCTCGCCAACTGAAACAAACCGCCAGCTGCGCAGGCTCCCGAGCGACGGGATCGCGGGATTTAAAACCCTCCAGTGAAAAAGCTCCCGTCGAAACAAAGAGCCATATTCTCCCATTATATTATAATGGCGCTTGTCGCCTGAACAAAACACTTCCTTGTACAATCACGCACTCATCTCGTGACTCTAATCCTTTGTTGATACATTATACACTGCGAGCTAGCATTCCAAATTTTGAGACTGTCACCGACTTGCGCGGCCTTGAAGAAGATCAAACATTGTACGGCGTCATGAAAGGTTTTATCGCTTTTGTGCTGTGCCTAGCTTTTGCAAATGGCCACATTCTACATACTGAATATGAGCAGCAGTGGCAAGCTTGGAAAACTTTTTACGAGAAGAAATACAGCACAGACACAGAGGAAGAAGCGCGCTATGCGATTTGGAGAGACAATCTGAGGGTAAGTTAAACATACTTTTTTCCCCAGAATTATAAGATTTAAATCCAGGAACAAATTACTCTTCCACGCCTCATATTGCTTAGAGACGATGCTTCTTTCCACATGGCAAGAGACTGACAACAGCAACAATACGTTTCTATCAGGTCCTCTACAGATGACAGTACATATCCCGAGACTAGGACGGGCACATACTAAATTATAAAACTTTATGAACACTGGGGCAATAAAATCAACTTTATTTATACCACAAATCTCTTGTGAAAATTCTGTTTTCCTCTTAACAGAAATGCTTAAAATGACTCCTCTGAAACTTGCCCCTTCGTTTGAAATAAGACTGACTTTCAAGTGTGCGGAACAAAGCCGGCTAAATAATGGTTCAGCGTGACAATTTTGTAAATAAACCCACACTAAAGTCGATTATCTGTATAGGCCTATGCGAACTACCCTCTATGGGCTTCAAAATATCTCCACACTGAATTGTTTAACACGTTATGGATGAATGTGGGCTAGATACCATCACCTGCTTTCGTTTTCCTTCGTTATGTGAAGGAAAGCGGATGCTTGATTGGAATTTTACCCCGAAACAAAAAACCGGAACTCCTACGAGGAGATATCGTAATTCTAAAACAGACAAACAAATAAGACGTACGTTAAACGCTTTCTTCATGTTCTTTTCTTTCCTTTTTTTTCTCTTTCTTTTTTGTAGACTCCCTTTTTTTTCTTTTTCCTTTTTTCCAGTATTTATCTGTCTTCATGCACAGCTCTATAATGGCAAACCGCAAAAGTAGCACTGTCGAAAATCCTCGAAAATCTCTTATTTTCAGTTTGAGGTTTCATTTGAATGGTCACACCATAAAAGATTTTGACTGCGGACTGAACAGTTAGAACAACCTTCCCAGACTCCATCATTCACTTTGAGAGCGAAATTGTAAAATGGTTCTGTAGTCATGCAGTGTCTGCAGTACATACATACACACATACATATCCTTTATTTAAACACGATAGGATTTAAAGCTCAAGTTAAAGCTTGTGGAGTCGTGTAAAAATAATTACAAATGAATATAGAACTATGTCAAAAATAGGGATAACATTGCTTACAAAATACAGCTTCAATAAAAAACACTAAAAATATACATTAAGGTTCTAGTTTCTTTAAAAAAAAGAGGCCTTCTTCACTTTGCGAAAAAAAAACGGTAAACTGGTCTGTAAAATGAGTCGAGACAGGGTTCCAAAGAATAGCGCCTCTAGAGGTTTTAAGAAACTGCGGGTTAAAACGCGCGACGATTAATATGTTATTACTCCTTCTGAAGTTGTACGCAGTACAAGGTT